CTGCGCAACAGCTTTTTCTAAAATTTTTGAGAGGAATGGAAGATTCGATATAGGCCGATAGTTTTTTATATTTTCCGGGTCAAGGTTTGGCTTTTTCAAGAGAGGCTTTATCACTGCCACTTTTAGTGAGTTTGGTACACATCCGGTGGATAGAGAGCTGTTTATTATGTTCAACATAGGAGGGCCAAGCACAGGAAGCAGCTCCTTCAGCAGTTTAGTAGGAATAGGATCCAGTATGCAGCTTGAAGGTTTAGAGGCCATGATTATTTTCATCATTGTGTCAAGAGATATAGTACTAAAACACTTAAGTGTCTCTCCCGATCCCAGGCCCTCGCAGAGCTGTGCAGATCCAGGACAGCTAAGCCCTGGAGGAATACGCAGATTCAAAGAGGAGTCCGTAATTTGCTTTCTAATGGTCATGATCTTTTCCTCAAAGAAGTTCATGAATTTATCACTGCTGAAGTGAAAGCCATCCTCTCTTGGGGAATGCTGCTTTTTAGTTAGCTTTGCAACAGTATCAAAAAGAAATTTTGGATTGTTCTTATTTTCCTCGATTAAGTTGGAAAAGTAGGATGATCGAGCAGCAGTGAGGGCTCTTCGGTACTGCACGGTACTGTCTTTCCAAGCTAGTCGGAAGACTTCCAGTTTGGTGTGGCGCCATTTCCGTTCCAATTTCCTGGAAGCTTGCTTCAAAGCTCGGGTATTTTCTGTATACCAGGGAGCTAGTTTCTTATGACAAATGTTTTTCGTTTTTAGGGGTGCAACTGAATCTAGGGTATTGCGCAAGGTTAAATTGAGTTCCTCAGTTAAGTGGTTAACTGATTTTTGTCCTCTGACGTCCTTGGGTAGGCAGAAGGAGTCTGGAAGGGCATCAATGAATTTTTGTGTTGTCTGAGAATTTATAGCACGACTTTTGATGCTCCTTGGTTGGGGTCTGAGCAGATTATTTGTTGCGATTGCAAACGTAATAAAATGGTGGTCCGATAGTCCAGGATTTTGTGGAAAAACATTAAGATCTACAACATTTATTCCATGGGACAAAACTAGGTCCAGAGTATGACTGTGGCAGTGAGTAGGTCCAGAGACATGTTGGACAAAACCCACTGAGTCGATAATGGCTCCGAAAGACTTTTGGAGTGGGTCTGTGGACTTCTCCATGTGAATATTAAAATCACCAAAAATTAGAATATGATCTGCTATGACTACAAGGTCTGATAGGAATTCAGGAAACTCAGAGAGGAACGCTGTATATGGCCCAGGAGGCCTGTAAACAGTAGCTATAAAAAGTGATTGAGTAGGCTGCATAGATTTCATGACTAGAAGCTCAAAAGATGAAAACGCCATTTTTTTTTTTGTAAATTGAAATTTGCTATCGTAAATGTTAGCAACACCTCCGCCTTTGCGGGATGCACGGGGAATATGGTCACTAGTGTAACCAGGAGGTGAGGCCTCATTTAACACAGCAAATTCATCAGGCTTAAGCCATGTTTCAGTCAGGCCAATCACATCAAGATTATGATCAGTGATTAGTTCATTGACTATGACTGCCTTTGAAGTGAGGGATCTAACATTAAGTAACCCTATTTTGAGATGTGAGGTATCACAATCTCTTTCAATAATGGCAGGAATGGAGGAGGTCTTTATCCTAATAAGATTGCTAGGGTGAACACCGCCATGTTTAGTTTTGCCCAACCTAGGTCGAGGCACAGACACAGTCTCAATGGGTATGGCTGAGCTGACTACACTGACTGTGCTATTGGCAGACTCCACTAAGCTGGCAGGTTGGCTAACAGCCTGCTGCCTGGCCTGCACCCTATTTCACTGTGGGGCTAGATCCTCCTATGTGGCCCATCCTCCCTCCAGCCAGGCATTATTCTGCACTTATTGAGTTTAGGAGGTGTGTCACAATATCTATCAATTTAATCACTTTTGCAGTAAAATATATATTTTTTCACAACCATCCATTTCATGAATGGGAGACATTAGACATGTGAAAGAACATGGTTGTGTATCTCAAACTAAAGCCCTTTTTGAGGATTGAGAGGGACTAGCCTAAAGGGTGTAATACAGTTGGTTCGGTGACCACGCTAGCGTGATGAGTAACTTGTCTGAGACCTGAAAAGTTCCATTGTCTGGCGCACATGAGACCTGGGTTAGAACCCCATCAGACAAACTTCAGGTCTCAGGCAAGGTTGCTCATCACATGCATGAAACACCAAACGACCTCTGTTGCACTCATTAAATGGGGTGCACAGATTATTCTGCTTCTGTTTGCCAAATAAAGTGTTTTTGTTGTGCAGTAGGTCTGATTTCAGTCCAGTCAGTTATATTGGTGCTGTGATCTCTGAGTATGAAGTCAAAAGGGGGTGAAATGTAACCTGATGAGTAACCTTGCTGGAGGCTTGAAGACTTCCTGAACTCATCCATATGGGCTTTAGCTAAGTGGGCTAACACAGTCTTGTGACATGCAGGAGACCTGGTTCGAATCCAGTCAGTCACAAGCGCATGATTGAATAGGGAGTGGAAAGACTATCCTTAGAAGGGCTATGACAGCGCTATTCAACAATATTCTTATGGGGGCCAAATTACAGTGTTTGTCACACTCACTTCTAACGTGTCCTGCGCAGCCTGTGATCATTATAGAGGGGAACAGAAGGCATGGTCATGTTCCAGACAGTCTTAGATTTCAGGAATGGGTTAATGATAGCTTATAGCCCAAACGGTTCAAACCCTAGAGCTAAATTCATAGGATTAAAATAAATTGAACATTCCACATTGGCTTCGGACACCACCAGAGGCTTCTGTTTACCACAGACCGTTTGAGTCTATCTGTTCTCCTTAACTTTTCCTGGCTGGCAAAGTACCAGGATGTTGTCTCTGGTTTTGAATCTGAATTTAGAGAACTGCATTTGAAAACTGAATCTGAATGCATCTGAGAAGTTTAATATATGAAACTTTGATAAACTTGTAATGATAGTTTTTAAACTTGATACACATACAATGAATGCAATATTTACCATATTGAAACAGAATATATAAATATTGAATTTGAATGTTCAATTGAATTGAAATTGAATTTTAAAACGGAATGCAATATTCATTCAATTCAGTTTCAAATCATGAAATACAAGTTCAATTTATGAATTCAATGATTCAATTTGTGCATTACAAATTCAAAAATATTTAATTCAAATTCAATATCCTAATACAAAATTATGGAATTGAAATACAATTTCTGTTGGCACAGAAATAGCTACATAAATTAGGAATGAGGGTCTATAGTGGATCATTATTGGTGGTGGCACAGCTTCTCCTCTGTTGACAATTGATTATGGAATGTTCCTTCCTACAGGTCCTGCCAGCCGTTCTTCAGGGGCCTGGGTCTGGAGATGCAGTTCTTGCAGACAGGAGATCCCCAGGTGCTGATGGAGAAGGTGCCAATGTGTTTCACAGAGAAGGAGATCAATGAACTTTGCCGGGGGAAGCAGTCCATCATCAAACCCATAGTGGAGGTGCCTCTCCTCAGCAAAATGATTGTACCCTTCAATATTTCATTAATTTAAATTATCACCTCATTCCTATTAATTTCCTCCTCTTAGTTTTTCTCCTCATGCAACTTCCCACCAGTACCTTCAAGAGCAGATTGAGGTGAGCAGGAATACTCTCTAAAAGAGAAAAGAGAAAACAATGATTTCCCTGCTGCCTTATTTGAAAGAACAATCATTAGGACGGATCAATATCGCCAAATAAGTTGTGTATGGATATGAGAGTTAATTCCTCTTGGTCTGTGTGTTTTTTTATTCCCTCCGTTATTGCGTTCAACAGAGTGAGACGGCAGAGTGAGACGGACACGGCCTCTTACCGTACTTAAAGTCCTCGCCTCCTTTGCATGTCATGGTGAGCGTCATTCCTCAACCTCATTTCAATTCATTTTTAATTCAGTGGTCATACTTTGTATACGGTGCTCATTAGTTCCTTATGGTACAATTAGTGTCATGGTCAACCATTATTGGTGTTAAGTCCCAAACAGGTACAATCAAATTCAGTGACAGCCTCCGTAAGGAGTGTTGCAGCCTGGTAAGCTCTCGATCTTCATGCCAGCTGCCCTTCCAGTGTGCCCATGATGGTAAACGTCCGTCACTTGAATGACCAAGAGGTACCAGCATAGACATACACTGATTAAGGATTAGCTTAACTGTTTAATGATGCGGTCAAAGCAGACTTACCGTATGTAAAACAGTCCTTTGCTCCACTAAACATTCCTCTTAACAAAATACCAATGACAGTCTTGTTCCACAATCAGAAATGCTCTATGTCAAACTTAATTTTACTTGGTAAACAATAATTTTTTCCCTCACAGGAACCACCCAAACCAAACTTCAGAAAACTGGGAAGAATGTACAAAGCCTGGGAACCTAATGGAAATAGATGTCTACATTGTCAAATTATAAAATATTAATTTAAATATGATTTCTCCAAGAGATTTCCCTCATTAAATGAGACAAATGTATTGTCATTGCTGGTCTTTTCATCATTATTTTAATGTCTTTATAGCTACCGAAAAATACAAAATAGACACCCAAAATGAGATCAAAGTGAAAACGTTTTTTTAATAAAAAACAACCATGTACCTGACATTCTAGGGAAATGTTATTTTCACATAACATCTGAATGTTTGAAGGGGAGGTTTTGTGCATGTAGTGTTTATTTTCATACAGTATTAGTTATTTACTACAACAAAAATAGTAACAAGAATATTGCATGAGTAAATATCAAACCAAAATGTATCCAAGTACATTCTGTTGTATTTCTAATCAAAACTAATAGTAACAGAGATGAGGGGCTAGTAAAAAACTGAAGCTGAAAGACTGAAATAATTTTAAATTGCAAAGGGTGGCACCCCCCCCCACCCCAAAAAAACTTTGTTTCACAAATTGTACAGCCAACACCATTTCCCAAACGTCCTCAACATGATGGTCCTTGTTTCATTGATGGCTTTACTCAATCAGCTTCTTCGCCTTGAAGAAACGCCGCAGGTAGAAGACCTGCCATGTTGCCAGCCCAATTAGACAGCACATAGAGAAGATACTGAAGTACAGGACACGTGTGTTGGTGGATTCTGCAATGTGAGGGAAAATCTATTTAACTGAGTAACAGGTGCGAGTTAATTTAAACCAAGGTTTTACTCCTTTCACAAGACCAGCCAAAGAACGATTGTGAATCATATGAAAGATACTGAACATTTTCTGGTAGAGTGAAAACTTGGACCACAAGTCACAAAGAATGTTACTTTGGACTTTTCTTTTCATACATCACTTACCATTTGTGTCCCTCATTTCCTCTTCACGCTTCTTCATGTAGGCAAAGTCATTCACAATGGACTCCGACAAGTCCTCGAGGCGTCTTAGTTCAACTTCTAGGGGCTTCAGCTTCTCAACTTTTGCAATCTGAAAAGAGCACCATACAGAATAAACCCCTGATTATAAACTGGGTGGTTCGAGCCCTGAATGCTGATTGACAGCTGTGGTATATCAGATTGTGTACCATCGGTATGACAAAACATTAATTCTTACTGCTCTAATTATGTTGGTAACCAGTTTATAATAGCGTCATGCCTAAGAATAGCCCTTAGCCGTGGTATATTTGCCATGTACCACAACTCCTCGTGCCTTATTGCTTAATTAACCACTGGATGTACTTAGTCACATTAATAGGGTAGGATATATAATTAGTGTATGACACTTGTATTGTGGAGTGGATAAAAATCTGTGTGAGCATGCTAGGATTTTCTGCAGCATGTGTCAGTCTTCACAATGCACAGCAGCTACAATGCTTTCAGAAGTTGACAGTTAAAGAGAAAGTTAGTCTTTCTTCATTTCCAATACAAACAAGAGAAATTGAGAAAGCTTAGCCATCTTTTTCACATTGTTTTTGTATTTTCTAATGTTGAGACCTCATGCTAACTCATGGCAATCCACAACAATTCTGATCCAGATGGACCTGGAGAAAGGCTGATAGGCAGTTGGCACTTACCTCTTTGTAATTCTTTGCCTCCACACCATGCTTCATGTCTAAATTGACTAGCTGGTCTGGGACCCTCCCAGTACCTAGACCCCAGAATGAAAATACTTATTGTACAGGGCCAAATATTCCAGGAAATGCAACCTGGTCTTAGAGCATTTCGTATTATTCTGTACGTAAATCCCGCCATTCAATTTAGTATGATATGTTACGATTTGCAATTTGTACAATATGTTACGAATTTGCTAAACGTATATGTTATGAATTCCAATTTTGTTGTTGCTAACGTTAGCTAGGTTACTAAGGCAAACGTTAACTAGGTGGCTAATGCTAATGTTAGCTAGCTGGCTAACGTTAGCTGGGTTAAGGTTAGGAGTTAGGTTAAAGGGTTAGGGGAAGGGTTAGCTAACATGCTAAGTAGTTGCAAAGTAGCTAAAAAGTAGTTACAAAAAGTAGTTTGCGTTATACCCACTCATCCACCGTCCCTTCCTCCCTCCTTTCGTTCTTGCTTTAAATTGCCTTCTGTCTTATGTAACCATACCAAACGCAACATAATCATACTCATTTCAGTGTCCCGGATTTACATTTACTATGCTATGTCTAGTCTATGAGACCAGGCTGGGAAATTACTATTCCCCACTTCCAAATGCGGCCCAGCCTGCAAATTTTGCTTAATCATATATACTCCAAGGCTTTAAACTTAAACAACCCAGGCCCATTGCTACATTAGACCACATCTGGTTAAACACACTCACCAAGGGGGGATTTGCTTTCAAAGCAAACCTCAAACATATCATAGTCCTCTGTTGTAAAGGCAAACTTCCCCTTTGAAGCATCCTCCTTGGAGTACAAGGTGTGACCTGATGAATCTGTGATCTGAAATGGAAAATAATTAAACATATGGTAGGTACATTACACATGTTTGACCCAGATAAGACACACGCACGAATCAAAGTCAACTAGCTACTTTGTTGACATGTTTTAACCTTAGCTACATCATGTTTAATACTTGCATAGATATTGATGGCTATTCAAGTCCTTTGCAGTATTCAGTTGAACCAAGCTGACAGCATTTTATTTTGCTAGCTAGCTAACTACCTTAGCCAGTGGCTGTACTATACCGGTTAGCTAGCTACTAGTAGCTCCCTAACCCAGACCTGCCCATTGAAAATCTAACTATTGACGTTGTTTGATACTAGCTAGGTGATGTAAGTTACATATCCGAGGCTTCCATGTCAAAAAGTTACGCTAACACTGATTTGATTGCAAGGATTTCATACAGTATAGCTAACGTTAGCTAGCTAGCTATACGTGTTACCTTGAGATTGGTTTTCGCATTTGGTTGTTCGCTAACTTCGTATTCGCCTGTAACCAGCACGTCTTTGTGGATCTCTTCCCGCAAACATTTTCTAAGATTCACCGGCAAATAGAACGTAATAGAAAAGGTCAAATCAAAAAGAACAGAAAAAAGTATTAGTAATACACAAAATCTAGACATACTGTAGCTGGCTCTGTATACTACAGTCGGTCACCACCAAGCTAGCTCGATGCTAAATTATTCTTCTTCGATGAGGTTTTACGGCGGTTGGCAGCCAATAAATGTTGCATTACCGCCACCTACTACACTGGAGTACAAATCCCTTATACTTTGCTTACAAAAAAAAAAAATTACCCTACCATCTAACACTACTCACACCCCCCCAAAATAATGATAATAATAAAATAACACCACCCTACTCCACTATTTAAATATATTTAGTCCTACCTCAGGCCAACAACCTGAAAGGATGGGACACCACCACTTAACACACCCTGTAACTCTTCTGATGTCAAGTCTTGCACACCCAAATACCTCTCTGCAGCTGCCACCACAACCTCAATTTTCACACCACTCCTCTCAGGATCCCTCCCTGTTGACACATCTTCCTCTACTTTCTTCACTGCATCAGCATATGACAACCTCTGCACTACTCTAACCCTGGAAACCTCAATCTGCCTCTCTCGCACGGGACATTTCTGATCCCCAGCCCCATGGGCACCCCTACAATTAACACATACCACTACTCTCCCCAATGCTACACATTCCTTTGTCTCATGCCCTTCTACACACGTCTCACACCTAGGAACCTCCCTCCTACACACTGCTGCCACATGCCCATAAGCTTGACACCTGTAACAACGTAATGTATTTGGCACAAAAGCTCTTACAGGATAACTTATATATCCTAACATCACTTTGTCGGGCAAAGACTCAACATCAAAACTCAAAAGAACAGACAATGACTCTTCTGTTTCACCACTCACACAACCCTGTCTGCGTCGCACCAAACAACAAGCATTAAGGAATCTTCCCCTTCAGTTTGTCAACTTTTACATTTACTGCTACCCCCAGTAATCACTCCTTTCAATGGCGCCCTTTTCTTGAGCACAAAACAATTCACATCTCTTGCCCCTATTCGTTTAATGCGGAGCGCCTGCTCCCACTGACAAGCAGAAACACAAACAATTATCACAAGACCACTTCTGGTTACCCTCACGGATTCCACAGCACTCAACTCTGTTTTCACCCACCCTGAAACCACAAATGGATCAGCCAAAAGACAAGGTTCCACCTTTTCCAAAAACTTCACTCCTACTGTCACAGATTCATCTTTATCCTGACCCTCGGTGCAATCGGTCTCCAAGAACTTCACCACACCTACCACCTCCAATACTTCGCCCTCATTCACTTCCATTTCTCCTCCTGTCTTTTTCCCGACTCAATCTCACCTTCCCTCTTTCTCTTAGACCTCCTCTGCCTCTCTTTTCCCCTCCATTCCTCCTCCGTATTCCAAGTATACGTCTCCTTATGATAATACTGCACTTCTCCTGACATACATCTTGTTCTTGCCTTCTCAAGGGTCGCCATTTAACCGGCTGTCACAATCTCCGTACAATCAGCACGAACCCCTCGGGATGTAACGTTAGCACTCAACAGTGCATCCGACAGAAGTCTTGATGTTGTTCTTTATCAATAGATACCGCAACGCTATTCCATTTCAAATAAGCGCGCTCTTCCAACCACCATCCACCGTCACTCGTTACGCTCTGTGTCGCCCGGTTCTCTCTCTCTCCTGAGCTCGCCACTCATCTGGACTTTCTCGATGCTAAATGATGCTCAGTTCCGGGTTAAGTCATGTGATATCTTCGCCCCACAGCCCTTTTTTTTTGCAAGTGCAACGTGCGCACGATCATCAAAATGATAAAAAATAATTATTTTACTGTTGCTACTTTGTATCCATTGTATTTTCAGTTACTTGTCTTGCACCGTTATCTAGTAATAACTACTAAATAAATGCAAATACTAATAATGTTATTTGGTGGTTAATTACTGGTAGATCGAGCCGATATGAGGTTTGGGGGGAAAGGATTAACAGGACGTCAGTGTCTTTATATGGAATCCCTCCTGTGCGAGATTGAGAAAGCATGAGAACTCTGGTGTAGACTATAACTGTCATTATATTGATGGCGTAGGCTAATATTATACTGCCATGCTGTATGATGTAATTAAAATCATATAAAAATGAGCTATATGATTTACCAACCAGATTTGTCAGTTCTTAGAACACTTTAGCTTTAGTGGCCTATAATTATCCTATAATAAAACATATAGAAATTTAAAAAATATATATATACAAGCAGTAAGCCTATTGTGTAATGATATGCCAAATGTCATATAGTGAGCTGTAAACCATATAGAGACAACTGCATTATAGGGCAATTGAAGTGTGCTGTTATTTGCACCAAAGCAATAGCACAGTCCGTGTGTCTGAAAGTATGAATGGGCATGCTACACGTGACACTTTCCTCTGGTATTTGTTGTATAAACGCATTTGAAAAAAGTGCAATATAATTACCTGGGGGTAAATGACAATAATGAGTAACTCGGTGATGATATTGAGTATTTGGCAAATGTTTATCTAAAATATGCTAAATGTGTGTTCATTGTCCAGTGGCTCCCCTCCATAGAGATGGTACAGCCTCCGTTCATTCATAAAAGTCTGTCAGACTATAAAAGGAGGGGCTTGCACACGAGTCTATCAGTTACCAGGTATAAACCTGGAATAGAAGCTGCTGAAAAAATCAAATTGACGAGAAGGGTGATTATTCTATTAGCTAAGGATATTTTAAGACATGTTTCTCAAACCTGACTTCGATTCAATGTCTCGCTGCAGCACTGAATCTCCTGTCGGGGACACCCTGACGTACTATCAGAAGACGCAAGACGACTCTATTTCCAGCTTCTCAGCTTCGCCATCAGAGAGTAATGCACAGGTATGAATCAATCAAGTGGTGATGTCTGTGATGCAATGATGTATAATATTCAGACGCAACGATGTCAACGATTATTAATTGAAATATGGTTGCCTTTCATCATTTATCAGTGTTAATCTCTACTCTATTAACATTCATGTGTGTGAAATATTAATAGGAAATCATTGATATTGATGTATTTGTCGAAAATGCCGGGTGGGTAAATGATTCTACCATATTATTCCTATAAATAATATATAGCATGTCGATGTAGCGGTTCATTGAGAAAAATAAATCCATTCAGGAGCCTCCACAGCATCTCTGCGTCAGTGTTGACGTCAGTAACAATGATAAAGTAAAATATTGATCCAGAGGAGACTATTTTTAGATGGCTAGATATATTTTAAGAGAACACATAGTACATGCCATGACAATACAGCATAGAGTCACAGACATCCCCAATCCAAATGTGGTAATTGCCTTATGTCTCTGTCATTAGAATAAAATGTGTTTAATTACACATTTTGCAGTAAAATAATTAAGCAAATTGTGATAAAAAAAATCATCAGTGGTAAATTAACTGTGATAATATATCACTTTGCAGGAGCTCTGCCCAGACATGGATATACCAGCCACTCCATTTATTCCAACAGTGACTGCAATTTCCACAACCCCGGATTTGCAGTGGATGGTCCAGCCGACCATAATAAGGTCTCTCTCCCCGTCTCTGGGTAGCAAACAAACCAATGAAGCGCAGAGCTCTCACCAGGCAACACCCAAAGCGGGCGAGAGCAGGGGAAAAATCACTGGCAGAAAGGGGAAAACCGAGAAGGTTAGAGCACTTTTCTGATTACAATTCAAACAAAACACATTAACTTGTGTAAACATCTAAATCAGTGCATGCTCTCCAAAAGCAGTGTATTTGGCTGTGTGCCGAGCTCAGGCAGTCCATTTATATTCAGGTCACAGCGAGTCTGCAACAATGGTCTATTTTTAGACGCATTGCAGAGAAAGATGCTTTTGGCAACGGAAGTCTGAGATTAGGAGATGAAATGGACTGATTCTTCAAGGTGCAAGTGTTTTTCTCTGAAACCCACAGTTCTCTCCAGAGGAAGAAGAGAAGAAGAGGGTGAGAAGAGAGAGGAATAAAATGGCTGCAGCCAAGTGTCGCAACAGACGGAGGGAACTCACCGATTCACTGCAAACTGTAAGTTAACCCTTGGAAATCATGTTAATCATAGTACCATAATCTTAAACAGTAACCTATAGTTATGATTGACATTTCCTGTGTTATTTTTTGGGGTCTTTTCGAAGGAGACTGATCAGCTGGAGAAAGACAAAGCAGCTCTGCAGATAGAGATAGCCAACCTCCTCAAAGAGAAAGAGAGGCTGGAATTTGTCCTCACTACTCATAAACCTGTGTGCCAAATTACAGAAGAATTGGATTCCATTTTCCAGGAGCCCATTGGGTCTCCAGACCTCCCCCCCAGCCCAGAGGGGGGTAAACTCCCTGAGGACAGTGCCCAGGAAGCCCCCTCGCTCCAGGACATGGACATCCCCAATGACCCGTCCACAGCCATCTCTGGAAACTCCAACATCCTACTCTGTGCCAGTGTTGAAGTGAACATCTACGACCTTGAGCCCTCTTTGGACATGAAGGAGGGGCTCCTGGACAATCTGCTGCCCAGCATGGAGGAGGAAGTCCCCACAGAGACTGCCCGCTCTGTCCCAGATATTGACCTGAGCGGCTCCCTTGGGGTTACTGACTGGGAAACCCTGTACAAATCTGTTTCTAATGAGCTAGAGCCTCTGAGCACTCCTGTTGTGACCTCCACCCCCACCTGTAGCAGTTACCTGTCTGTTTTCACATTCTCCTGTCCCGAGCTCGACCACCTTGGAGTGGGGTTTGATGGTCGCAAAAGTGGAGGGGGCAAGGCTGAATCTGTTGATATCTTCAATTCTCCAACCCTGTTGGCCTTATAATGTAAGCAGAGGGAGTTGATTGGTTTATCACTTTAGTTGGTTTTCCTGACTGTGATAGGTTCAGAGACTTGCTGTGGTTTCAGCACTTCAGTTTGATTATTACACCCATGAAATGTGTTGTTTGACTAAGTAAGTATAAACTTCTTCCAGATACAATTGATATAGCTAAGAGCATGGCTATACATTTTACTGATAGGGATGAAGTATGTTCTGGTTTTAAACGCATGCAGAGGAATTCCAAATAATTTTCATATTTCATATATGTTTGATCTGGTACTAGATCTATGCTGTATTGTGGAATTAACTGTATGGTTTTGTGCTTCAATGGGAATAGTATATCAATAGCTATGAATGCTGTGTTAAAGGATACATCCATGTTCAGTAGGTACATACCTCAACGTCATCAACTGTGATTTGACCTCATCGTTACAATGTTTAGAGTTTTCAATGAAAACTTCCAGTGCTATATCTATCAAGATGTAAATTATGATAATTTATTTTTTTACCTCAGATTTTTACTTAAAAAGTTAAAAAAGTTAAATGAGCATCTATTGCTGATTGATAAATATTCAAATTAAATAGTAATTCAAAGTGATGTTGGGTGCTTTATTGATTGCTAAATATTTAAACACTGATACCAGCTAATGTTGCTTCATTGAGTTTTACAATGAATGCATATATATTTTTCAGATAAGACTAACTCTATGGTCACCAGAAGATCTACTGAACAAAAATATATAAACGCAACATGTAAAGTGTTGGTCCCATGTTTCTTGAGCTGAAATAAAAGATCCCAGACATTTTCCATATGCACAAAATGCTTATTTTTCTAAAATGTTGTGCAAAAATTAGTTTACATCCCTGTTAGTGAGCATTTCTCATTTGCCAAGATAATCCATCCACCTGACAGGTGTGGCATATCAAGAAGCTGATTAAACAGCATGATCATTACACAGGTGCTCCTTGTGCTGGGGACAATAAAAATACCCTCTAGAATGTGCAGTTTTGTCACAACAATGCCACAGATGTCTCAAGTTTTGAGGGAGCATGCAATTGGCATGCTGACTGCAGGAATGTCCACCAGAGCTGTTGCCAGAGAATGTAATGTTCATTTCTCTACCATAAGCCGTCGTTTGAGAGAATTTGGCAGTACGTCCAACCAGCCTCACAACCGCAGACCACGTGTAACCACGCCAGCCCAGGACCTCCACATCTGGGTTCTTCACCTGTGGGATTGTATGAGACCAGCCACCCGAACAGCTAATGAATCGGAGGAGCATTTCTGTCTGTAATAAAGCTATTTTGTGGGGAAAAACTCATTCTGATTGGCTGGGCCTGGCTCCCAAGTGGGTGGGCCTATGCCCTCCCAGGACCACCAATGGCTGCGCCCCTGCCCAGTCATCTGAAATCCATAGATTAGAGACTCATTTATTTATTTCAATTGACTGATTTCCTTATATGAGCTGTAACTCAGTTAAAAATCGTTGAAATTGTTGCATGTTGCAAAAGTGAGAGTGTGAGCGAATTAAACAAGATTGGTGTTTATAAAAGGCATTATTGTCAGGTATTAAGAGGGAATCCCAATGGAGGTGTGTGGGCTGAAGACAGGGACTGTCCTGCTCTGCACTGGGTCAGTGGAGTGGTTTGTTTTCTGGTTTCTAGGGGAGGAGCGGATAGGATTTCCCCAGTTCTTCCCCCCACTTTTAGGTCTAGTTGGCATAACTGATCATTTCCGCATTCCCAAATCCTCCCAGATAGCGCTCACTATTTAAACGGGCAGATGCAACGATTTCCACTTTTTAAAATCTACTCTCGACCTTCAGCTGACCAGAAGAAAGGACAACTGTTGCACTCGAAATCAAAGTCAGGTAATAGACAGCTTCGTAGTCGAGAAACATTGATTATACTGGGGCTCCACGCTGGATGAGTTGCCAGTGTGAGCAGAGCAGCCCATGAACTTTTCGGTGGATCATTGTGCACAATCCTTGCATTTGTGCAATCCTGTTCTTTCGTTCTATTTGGTTTGGGCAGCACTGTACTGTACTGTTAAAATTATTGGATATTATAAACGTTATTCGTGAGAAATAACTTTTACACTCAATGCTTTCCTTTTGTTTAGCTTGCAAGGTTGCAGTCCTAAACGTTTATTCAACCCAATAAACAAGTCGTTCTCTACAACTTTATTTATCCTGAACGAATATGACTTATTAAAAACATCCTTCATTACATGTAGTATAACATTGATCTAGCAATTGTCTTAGATGTATTTGCTCGACTGTCCTCGTTTCATCACCCTGCAACAGTCAGTTACGTAACATGCATGCCTTACTGAAGAATAACTTCCGCTTTAATAATGAGTCATGATGAGTCAGAAGTGTTATGTTATCTTTTCTTGTTAATTTGAAACTACGGGCTTTCAAGAGTGTTACAATAACGTAATGGAATTCTGACGATGTATCAATGTAGTATTACAATGTTACTTACATTTGATTTCACACTAGGCCTATATTATACCAAATATTTTTCTTACATCGATTTATCACATAGCCTAGTCCCAAAAAATTTATTCTAATAAACAGTTTCATTTAGCAACAATTCAGTGACTTTTAGGTTACTGAATGTACTGAATAATACTCAAATTCTTTTAAACCTTTTACCCAGATTTGAGCAGAGATGCAGAGAAGTATATTTTGTTTCTTTAAAGAACCATCAGTCAGGAGGATACAGACAGCTCAATAGGTATGATTAGACACAGTGCCTTCAGAAAGTATTCTTAACCCTTGACTACAGCATACATTCTAAATGGATTAAATTTAAATATATATTTTTTCTCACCATCTACACACAATACCCCATAATGACAAAGCGAAAACATATTTTTAGAAGTGTTTGCACATTTATTGAAAATGAAATACAGAAATATCTATTTTACTTAAGTATTCACACCCCTGAGTCAATACATGTTAGAATCACCTTTGGCAGTGATTACAGCTGTGAGTATTTTGGGGTAAGTCTCTAAGAGCTTTGCACACCTGGATTGTACAGAATTTCCACATTATTCTTAAAAAAATTCTTCAAGCTCTGTCAAGTTGGTTGTTGATCATTGCTAGACAGCCATTTTCAAGTCTTGCCATAGATTTTCAAGCCGATTCAAAACTGTTACTAGGCCACTCAGGAACATTCAATGTTGTCTTTGTAAGAAACTCCAATGTATATTTGGCCTTGTGTTTTAGGTTATTGTCCTGCTGAAAGGTGAATTTGTCTCCCAGTGTTTGTTGAAAAGCAGACTGAACCAGGTTTTCCTCTAGGATTTTGCTTGTGCTTAGCTCTATTCTCCCTAGTCCTTGCAGATGACAAGCATACCCATAACATGATGCAGCCACCACCATGCCTGAAAATATGAAGTGGTACTCAGTGATGTGTTGTGTTGGATTTGCCCCAAACATAACGCTTTGTATTCAGGACAATAAGTTAATTTCTTTGGCATTTTCTTTTTGCCGTTTTACTTTAGTGTCTTATTGCAAACAGGATGCATGTTTTGGAATATTTTTATTCTGTACAGGCTTCCTTCTTTTCACTCTGTCATTTAGGTTAGTATTGTGGAGTAACTACAATGTTGTTGATCCATCCTCAGTTTTCTCATATCACAGCCATTAAACTCTGTATAACTGTAAAACTGTAACTGTTTTAAAAACACCATTTGCCTCATGGTGAAATATCTGAGCGGTTTCCTTCCTCTCTGGCAACTGAGTTAGGAAGGATGCCTGTATCTTTGTAGTGACTCAGTGTATTGATACACCATCCTAAGTGTAATTAATAACTGCACCATGCTCAAAGGTATATTCAAAGTGTGCTTCCCCCCCCCCCCCCCCCCCATCTATCTTATAATACCAGAGACAAGAGGAGTTCCACATGCTACTTTCATATTTTTGTGCCTGGTACTTTTGTTTTGAGGAACTTTGGAACTGTAACTCATTTTACGCTGAGACAAAATGATGGACATTTGCTTGTGTTTCTAGATTTTAAAATTGGTTTCAGTCCGGTACAATCAAAATGTGCACCACACAGCAAAAATGGAATCACATTTTGCACATAAGGTAAAGCAGAGGTTTTGCTGAGACATGCCAATATTTATTCTGTTATGTAAACTGAGCATTACCAGATTTTCATCTGTAAAGCCTAATTGGGTAGTATCATTAGCTGTAAAAGGAGGCCAAATGGCAGCTGTTGGGGCAGTTAGGAGGTGGTGGAGGAAGGGGTCAGGTAGAAAGGGATGGAGTATTGTGGAGTGAAACAGGCTACACACTTGCATGCAAATACGCCAAAACCTTAAATTACTTGTCTTTGTACCGTACCGTGCCCAGTCAGGTTATTGGCCTACTTTGCTTGGGTCCCATTTGTTGGAACTCAACATTGTACAACTAGACAGCATAGGTCCTGACTGTATAGACATTGAAGGAAACCATCAGTATTTCAATTTTCTGGGGGTAAGGTCAGAGATCAGTGTAGATGATCCTGTATCAATGTATCCTGGGGTGTAGTTGGTGTCTGTATTACACTCTTTTGCTAGCTTTCAAACAAAGGGAACACTGTTTCTGTTCTGTTTATTTTTCCTCATCATTCACTCTGCCTATACTGCTGGGCCCATAAGCCATACATTTTTTTAGATTTTGGAAGAATACTGTACATTCAGCGCAAAGGGGTAAACTATTATGATTATTTTATTAATATTGTATCCCAGTGGTGATACCTGGTGGTGTTGTGAGTGAGTATTTGCTGACGTGCCTCTGAGGCCATTTCCATCTATAATGTGGTGGGAAATGTGAATGCGTGTGGGCAAATGAAATCAGACAGCGGTCTTGTCTGCAGCGTGCTTTGGCTCTGATATTCTTGGGAGAGTTGAGTTAGCTAGCTGTTGTCCCTGGCTACCTCTCTCCATGCACCTTCTCTTTGATTTTAGAGCTTGCTGATTTTCATGCCAACCTTGGCATTGAATAGTTGGCTGATGTAAGCTTACAAATGAGTGTGGCAAAAATGAGTAAAATCAAGAAAGGTGTTCTCAAACAGTTATATGTACAATGCTTCTGTTTAAACAGACTGTTGAGACTCTGTTTAGTGAGCTACAGTGTAATATCCGTCATCCTACCAAATGAATTACTTGCTACTCACCTGGGAATAAAGGCAGATGTCCTTGAATAATGTATATTACTACAGTTATAAACAAAACAGGTTTACAGGGAAGACTCAATGACGTGTTGATGTAGATCTTGTATTGTGTCAGTTTAGTCAGACAAAATAGGAAGAGAAGGGTTTGAGAAATGACCTTTATCAGGGGACCAGGGTTGGCTACATTATCCTGAGCTCCCGTAGCCACATTCCACTTCCCTGACATGTAGAAAAAAACGTATATGGAGGAAACATGGGCAACGGATGTTTCTTGGCAAGGGCTGGCTGCAGATCTCCTTGGAATAAAGGGGAATATGTCTGAGTCTACTTTTGTGCAGGGCTGTGTGCTTCTCTCTTGGCATCCTCTGGAATGAAAAAGAAAAACATAGATCCTTGCCAAGATCTATGTAAATGGGAGTATACATACATACATTCCAGAAAAAAAAGAGAGATTAAATAATAAAATGGCCTAATGGGAGACAGCCTCGGCCTCCTGCTCTGGAACAGGCCAACAATTCATTAGAGAGGGCTGCCAGGGAGACCAGGTGCACCCTGGGAAATGCCTCATTTAAGCCCTTTAGCAGACTGAAATGGAAGTAGACCAATTAATTAACTATCTGTCTACTATACCAAAACCACAAGCAGGTTTGAGATGTGAATACTTGGTGTAAAATGTATTCAGATCTTTAACTCTGGTATACAGTTGAAGTCAGAAGTTTACATACGCCTTAGCCAAATACATTTAAACTCAGTTTTTCACAATTCCTGACATTTAATCCTAATAAAAATTCCCTGTCTTTGGTCAGTTAGGATCACCCCTTTTATTTTAAGAATGTGAAATGTCAGAATAATAGTAGAGCGAATGATTTATTTTCTGCTTTTATTTCTTTCATCACATTCCCAGTGGGTCAGAAGTTTACATACTGTGGCGTACAGCAGGTCAGCCACCAGGGGGAGACTCGTCGAGGCCTGGTAACAGATGGAGTATACATCACGAGGCGGTGGCTCCATCTGCTGGACGTGCCAGGTCTCGACGGGCTCCCCGTACAGGACTAATTGGGGCTGATTGGAAGCTGGTGAGTAATTAAGGGCGGATTGCTCACCAGCTGTGCAAGGCCCATAAAGCTGCCAGAAGGGCAGGACTGGGGGAAGTAAGGTAACTTCCGTGTAGTTGGAGACGGTTTCCTGGAGAGGATCTCATGGGGGAGACCTAACCTTTTCTTTTGATTATTTTATTAATAAACACCCTTGAAACCGAGCTAATCATACTCTGTCTGTGTCTGATCTGTGTAAACGTTTTGACCCAACCCCCTGATCTGCCACAAGTGGTGGAGAATGCGGGCACTTTGTTAACGTGGTCAGATCAGGGTTGACGTTTACACAGCATCAGCATGGACGAGTTGATAGCTCAGTTCGTCTGGGCCCAACAAGCACAACAGGCGGTTCAGGAACGAACGCTGGAGGAACAGCGACTACAAAACGTCCGCCTTGTGGAGGAAGTCAGGAAGCTGCAAGGAGGAGCATCTCCTGAAACCCATCCCAACCAGTTTTTAATCAAGCTAACGGAAGACGATGACATTGAAACATACCTCTGTACGTTTGAACGGACAGCACTACGGGAAGGATGGCCAAGGCCGAAGTGGGCAAGTCTGCTGGCCCCGTTCCTCTCTGGGAATGCCCAAAAGGCGTATTGGGACCTGAACGACGAACAGGCGGCTAACTACGACGGACTCAAACGGGAGATACTCAGCCGCTACGGGTACAGCCTGGCCCATCGGGTTCAACGGTTCCACGACTAGAGTTTCGTACCCGACGCATCCCCCCAGAACCCAGATGAGCGACCTTCTGCGCATCACCAGGGCATGGCTCCTAACCAACGTATCCACCCTCTCCCTCCTCAACAAAATGGTCCTGGATCGCTTCGTACGGGCGCTACCCCACGTCATGAAGAGGGCAGCGAGCCTATGCGCGTCCCAGGCCTTGGAGGGCCTTCTGGAAGCAGTGGAGACGCATCAGAACACTCAGGCCCTACTGAGGGGGAGCCGGGACAAGTTGGAGACCTGTGCGAGGGGACGGAAGGACAACCCCACCGCGGTGTACCCCGAACCGACAGTCGGCCGGGCCAAGGGACCACAAACCCATGGAGAGACGGCTGGGGAAGGGCCGACCCGCCAACGACGACTCCAGGTAGATGGAGACCAACGGAGGTGTTTTGAGTGTGGCACCCGGGGGCACATTGCCTGGAATTGCCCTGCTCGAGAGGAGTCGATGCCATCAGCTAGCACCGGATGCCAGGTGGGTCACGCCGTGAACTATTTCACCTCCTGTTGGGCGCACCATGAATCAACTGCACCCATGGTCCCGGTGAAGGTTGACGGACACGACATGGAAGCGCTATTAGCCTCCGGAGGCATGGTTACGCTCGTAACCACGAGCCTGCTGAACGGGGTAGGGAGATGTCAATTTCCTGTGTTCACGGTGACACAAAGTGGTATCCCGCCGTATGAACCAACACAAGGGACACCACAAGGGAGCTGCCAGATGATGGTGGGTGCAGTACCAGAGCTGCCGGTACCTATCCTAGTGGGACGGGATTGTCAGCTGTTCGCGGCCCTATGGGGGCACGAGTTGGAAAAAAAAGATAAGAGCCAGCCGAAGAAGAGAGCGGGGACGACCCCTCGCCTGTGCGGCCAGGACGCCACCGGTTAACCAACCTGACTCTACGGGTCCGGAGTCAGAGGGGGAGCCGGAACCCGAACCCTCTGGGGAACCACTGGAGGAGGAGCCCAGCCTCCCCTTCTCGATTTCGAGGGGGCAGTCGAGACCCCCGTTGGGGGCCAACTGAGGGGACAATTCGGGACGGCCCAGTGGGAGGATCCGAATTTGAAAGATGCCGCAGCCCAAGTGATGGCGGTGGATGGACAGCTACTTCCGGGGGTGAGTGACTGGCGATACCCCATTTCCAAATTAAGAATGTGTGTCGCGCTAACAGGGGGAACAAAGAGAGGTATTGTTGCTGCCCCGACGGTATGTAGGAACCGTTCTTCAGCTGGCCCACACCCACCTGTTGGGGGCGCACCTGGGAATGGAGAAGACCCGGGAACGGGTCGCCGCCCGGTTCCACTGGCCCGGGATGAGGAGGGCCGTGGAAGACTACTGTTGCAGCTGCCCGGAGTGTCAACTCACTGCCCCGAAAGCACACTTCCGAAACCCTCTGGTCCCCCTGCCGATCATCGGGGTGCCCTTTGAACACATCGCCATGGACATAGTGGGACCCCTGGTAAAGACTGCATGAGGACACAGGTACATCTTGTTAATAGTAGACTATGCCACCTGGTATCCCGAGGCCATTCCCCTACGGGCGGCGGTATCCAAGGGAATCGCCCGGGAGCTGTTCCACCTCTTTAGCCGGGTGGGCATCCCGAACGAGATCATGAAAGAGTTGTGTGCCCTCATGCAGATCCGGACCTCAGTTTTTCACCCGCAGACGGATGGGCTTGTCGAGCGCTTTAACAAAACGCTCAAACAGATGCGGAAGGTCATCGAGCAGGACGGGAAGAACTGGGACCAGCTGCTACCCCACCTAAAGTTTTCCCCGTTTGAACTCCTCTACGGGAGGAGGCCACATGGCCTACTGGACCTCTCCAAGGAGGTGTGGGAAGCCCAACCCCCTTACGCAGCGTTGTAGAGCATGTGGAGGTGATGCGATAGCGGATGACAGCCATATGGCCAGTCGTGAGAGAACATATGGAGAAGGCCCAACGCGCCCAAGCCCAGGTCTACAATCGGGGAGCCCAGCCCCGAGAATTCCAGGTGGGAGACAGGGTGTTGGTGTTGATCCCCACGGCCGAAAGTAAGTCCCTGGCAACATGGCACAGACCATACGAGGTGGTCGAGAAACTGGGACCTGTCAACTACCGCATACGGCAACCGAAGAGACGGAAACCTCAACAGATCCGAGAAGCCGGGCCGCACGACCTTCATTGAACACCCTGGGCCGGGTACGGATGTGGAAACGGTAAGAAAGAGGCCGTAACGAATTCCTGAGGCCCGACAGAAGGCCGTGAAACAAGAAGTGGAGGCTATGCCGAGGATGGGGGTCATTGAAGAGTCCCACAGTGCATGGTGCAGCCCCATCGTGTTGGTGCCCAAACCGGACGGTAGCCTCAGCTTCTGTAATGATTTCCGGGGTGTGAACGACATAAGCCTATTTGATGCCTACCCCATGCCGAGGGTGGACAAGCTAATCGACCGATTGGGAAAGGCCCGGTACATCAGCACCTTTGACCTGACCAAAGGATATTAGCATGGAAACGCGGATGCCCTATCGAGAAGGGAGACAGACGTTGCACTGATGACCATCCTCTCCCCGATAGAGCTGGGGGGGGGGCGTACAGCAGGTCAGCCACCAGGGGGAGACTCGTCGAGGCCTGGTAACAGATGGAGTATACATCACGAGGCAGTGGATCCATCTGCTGGACGTGCCAGGTCTCGAAGGGCTCCCCGGACAGGACTAATTGCGGCTGATTGGGAGCTGGTGAGTAATTAAGGGCAGATTGCTCACCAGCTGTGCAAGACCCATAAAGCTGCCAGAAGGGCAGCACATGAAGGAGGACTGGGGGAAGTAAGGTAACTTCCGTGATTTTACTGTGTTACAGTTCATATGAGGAAATCAGTCAATTGACATAAACATCATTAGGTCCTAATCTATGGATTTCACATGACTGGGAATACAGATACCTCACAATGGGCCTCAGGATCTCATCACGGTATTTCTGTGCATTCAAATTGCCATTGATAAAATGCAATTGTGTTCGTTGTCTGTAGCTTATGCCTGCCCATACCATAAACCCACCACCACCATAGATCACTCTGTTCACAACATTGACATCAACAAACAGCTTGCCCACACGACGCCATACACGTGGTCTGCGGTTGTGAGGCCGGTTGGATGTACTGCCAAATTCTCTAAAACAACGTTGGAGGCAGTTTATGGATGAACCAGACTTATGAAGGTCTACAGTTTTCTTTACAATTTTTTTTCTGAGGTCTTGGCTGATTTCTTTTGATTTTCCCATGATGTCAAGCAAAGAGGCACTGAGTTTGAAGGTAGGCCTTGAAATACATCCACAGGTACACCTCCGATTGACTCAAATGATGTCAATTAGCCTATCAGAAGCTTCTAAAGCCATGACATCATTTTCTGGAATTTTCCAAGCTGTTTAAAGGCACAGTCAATTTAGTGTATGTAAACTTCTGACCCACTGGAATTGTGATACAGTGAATTATAAGTTAAATAATCTGTCTGTAAACAATTGTTGGAAAAATTACTTGTGTCATGCCTAACCGACTTGCCAAAACTATAGTTTGTTAACAAGAAATGTGTGGAGTGGTTGAAAAACAAGTTTTAATGACTCCAACCTAAGTGTATATAAACTTCTGACTTCAACTGTAGCTGTTGCCTGGCTACCCATTTACATTGCTCTGGCCAACTGACGTTTGTTCTCCACGATGAATCTGGATTTGCCTCCCTATCTGACGATTTCTAGAATGCGAACACATTCTGATCATTATGATTTGTACCAGAAACCGATGGGTTGGGCCAGAGCTGGCCTTCATGATGACGTTATCAATTTTGATACTCTGATTGGTTAGATTTGTTAGAGACGATCCAATCGCTGATACATTTGTCATGTACAACGGCCCTCATTTTGAAGTCAAACTAACGACTTGTAGGATGGTAGTTTCAGACTGAATGTATGTAGCGATCGATAGAGCAGCGGAATTAAATTCAGGGTGAGTCTTCAGGCAAGTATACCTGTGAAATCTCAAACCATGTGTCGTTGATTTTCTTCTCAATGTATTTTCCTATCCATTTGTCCCTTTCCCTATAAGCTGTGGTCACAGCCGTGTCTGACATGATGCCGGGACCAATCCCAGATCCCTTGGTGACAGCAGGCTCCCTGCCCAGCCTGGGTGTCCTGGCAGGGATCCCCTCCACCACGCTGACTGACCAGCTCAACTACGCCGACCTCCGGGAACTGGGGGCCATGTTCTCTCCACTGCACTTCCTGGGCAAGCTAGGGAAGAGGCCCCTAACCATCAAAACAGAGGTGAGAATGAACGTTTTGTTTTAGTTCTTGAAAATGTTGTGAGAAGTTCAAATTCAGACATCTTTCTGGTCATTTTACTGTTTAAGACTCACTCTTTTGATGTTTTGACTTTTCTAACCATCGTAGAGCTTTGTACAAAACATAGGCAATGTTATTCCCCAGGGCGCAGAGGGACTTCAGTATGTACTTAATGTTGACCAATGGCATCACCTAGTGGACAGAATTATCATTTAAACAAATGTAACCTGCTCTTAGATGGTTTCCTACACTTGAACCATAATTGCTGGGTCCATTTTCCACCTTAAGTTCTGTTTTAAAGCGTGTTTGCATTTCCCATCCATGTAGAGAGATGAGGAAGAGGACAGGAGGAAACGAAGGAGAGAGAAAAACAAAGTAGCAGCAGCACGCTGTAGAAACAAAAAGAAGGAGAGGACAGACTATCTACAAAGGGTGAGAGGTTTTTATTTAATGAAGTGTATAGACCAGTCTTCTAAGAATAAGTAATGATCTTATCCTTCCTTCCTTCCTCGTGCACCCTATGTCTCAGGAATCAGAAAGACTAGAGGTGATGAACTCTGACCTCAAAGCCCAGATTGAGGAGCTGAAGCATGAGCGGCAGCAGCTGATCATCATGTTGAATCACCACCGTCCAACGTGCATCGTCAGAACAGACAGCGTCAAGACCCCTGAGAGTGAAGCCAACCCCCTGCTGGAGCACCTGGACGGAAAGTGATGTCACAGGGCTCAGAGCAGCGTGGTGTCACAGTTCCAGTTTACAGTGAAGCTCCACTCTAGCCAGCTAGCAGCACTTCACTACCTCTGGGCTCTTGGCTTAGAGGAGAACCAGCTAAGCACTCCTGCCTGGAGCCAGAGAGCCTTTAAACACAAAGGTGACCCAATGTGATTGGACTTTGTGCTGGCAGTTAAATGCATTTTTTAGATTTTTTGTTTTGTTATTGTTGGTGTTATTAAGGGCCCCATAGCCCCAGCCACTATCATTATAAATACATGGAATTTAATAAATGGCTCAATGCAGCTTGGTGAGCAATACTCCACCGCTCCAAGGCAACATGGCAGATCTCTCAGGCCCCTAGGCACAGTCAGAGCTTGTGCTGTGTTTTTTGTTTATACTAATGTGTACTGGTTAAGATGAACACGTATGGTTTTTGAATATTATTTTTTCTTTGTATTATGCCTTCGATGGCAGACCGGTTGAACCGTTTTCTTTTATTTGGCGCAGGCGTCATATATGCACATAGCCTACAGTATATGTTGACTTTTTACATTGTAGTTGGTCTGTTACTTTCAAATATGGTTCTGATTTGTATACTTACTGTACAATATATGTATTATATAGACATACTGAACAGAAATATAAACGTAACATGCAACAATTTCAAAGATTTTACGGTGTTACAGTTCATATGAGGAAATCAGTCAATTGAAATAAACTCATTAGGTCCTAATCTATGGATTTCACATGACTGGGAATACAGATATGCAGATACCTCACAATGGGCCTCAGGATCTCAACACGGTATTTCTGTGCATTCAAATTGCCATTGATAAAAGGCAATTGTGTTCGTTGTCCGTAGCTTATGCCTGCCCATACCATAACCCCACCACCATCATAGGGCACTCTGTTCACAACATTGACATCAACAAACAGCTTGCCCACACGACGCCATACACGTGGTCTGCGGTTGTGAGGCCGGTTGGATGTACTGCCAAATTCTCTAAAACAACGTTGGAGGCAGCTTATGGTAGAGAAATTAACATTCATTTCTCTGGCAACAGCTTTGGTGGACATTCCTGCAGTCAGCATGCCAATTGCATGCTCTTTCAAAATTTGAGTCATCGGTGGCATTGTGTTGTGTGACAAAACTGCACATTTTAGAGTGGCCTTTTGTCCCCAGCACAAGGGGCACCTGTGTAATGATCATGCTGTTTAATCAGCTTATTGATATGCCACACCTGTCAGGTGGATGGATTATCTTGGCAAAGGAGAAATGCCCAATAACAGGGATGTAAACAAATTTGTGCACAACATTTGAGAGAAATAAGCTTTTTGTGTGTATGGAAAATTTCTGGGATCTTTTATTTCAGCTCATGAAACATGGGACCAACACTTTACATGTTGCGTTTATATTTTTGTTCAGTGGTATAAGCTATCACGAGGTTGTATTTCTGTTACAAATAAATACATAGTTTCTTTTCTCCTTGGCTTCTGTTATGTTTTAGAACCCTGAACAGCATTTCAAATTGTAATTTCCTTATTCATCATACTATTTGCTCCGTGATATTAATAATGCCATTACAAAAATCCTAGTTGGAGCTATATCATACCCTGATATCATTACAACATTACTATAAGCTAATTTAAATACAACTGACGATTTGTCAATGAGGTAATTTAAATCAGCTGCTTGATTTGATCACTTTAGTATTTTTCATTAATTTATTAACAGGGTACATTTTGTGTAATAACACTGTCATCTGGTGGCGGATATTCATACAGGTTCACGTGTCTTGGCATTCAATGATCCACCTGACCTGTGTGCGTGGAGCGCCAGAGAAACACTACCTCTTGAACTATTCCAATCCAAAACTTGTATTTCACATACCAACATATTGGACTAGTTATTCAAGGTCCTCCTATATTGCTATCCTTTTTTAGACCTAATCTAGATTAGACATGATGTCACATATTTAATATGAAATGCACCATCTCAGACAGAAGAAGCTATAAACCCTTCCTTACCTTGTAGATACCAGAACATTTAAAGGCTGGTCTTGATAATCACACAGAAAACAGTGGTATATGTCTATCATAAAAGAAAACACTCGAATTGGCAAAAAGAAAAGTGAGATTTGGCCAGCACATGTATCACTCATAATTCTGATCAACAGAGAATTCGTTTACAAAGGGATTAACAGTCCAAAAGAAAAAAGGAATATCATTGCCCACTAACCAACAGTGGAAAATGGCATCATACCAAATGTGACATTTAATTTATACACAAACATTGTGCCAGTCTTGAATTATACCGTGACATTCGGGCGTCTTTATTTTCGCGCAATATATTTTTTTCTGGGCCTAATAGTAAAGACTTCATTTAACGGTAAAACATGTTTTATTACCTTTTAATTTGACATGAACACCACCAGTTATGTTTTCATCTCATTGTCAAACAAATCAATTCAAAAAGTAGGCTACCTGTGCATGTTTGTCCACTCAAAAAGTATTCCCGCATCCAAATATTGCACTGTGCACTCGCGCCATTTGATGAATGGAAAGAGACATCTGTTACAAAACACCAACAAGTTGCCTGAATTAATTGATGCGTCTTGCTGACAAAATTACTTTTTTTGTAGAAAGAATTGGTGGGACACCTGAAAATGGGCTGAAATATGGGACTGTCCCGGGATGTCAAATGCAGCCACATGTAAAAAATGGTTGGGTGATTTGAAAAGTCATAGTCAATCGATCAATAATACAAAAAAAAAATAAATAATAATACTCTTAGCAAAGGTGTTTATCTTTCATTTACAATCTGTAGAAACTATGAGAATTGAAAGGTTCCGAACTTTTATGAAACATCACAGCACAGTAGAAACATATATGGCAGCTAGAAATCAAAACATGAAGGTCTTCAGAGATACATGTGAGTGGTTGAGGGTAGCTGAAGGCTGGGACTAAAATCAAACAAAAGAGAACTAATATAAAATATACTGTCCGTGAAATGTATGTAGTATGTATAAGCTGGAAGTGGAAGCCTAAGTATTGTTGTCCAAGAGTTTACTCCAATTAGGGGAGGGGTGGTAGGGTTAGGGGAAAATAATAAAGAAGGAAAATATATTTAAAAAATATATATTTAAAAAATATATATATTTACCCAAAAAATATATGGGGGATTGGAAATGATGCAGACAATTACACTGATAGAAGCCACAATATATCTGCAATATTAAAGCTGATCTTGTCACGAATTCAGCCGAGGCTGCCCCTCCTCCTTGCTCGGGCAGGGTTCGGCGTTCGTCGTCACCGGCTTACTAACCACTACCGCTCCATTTATCATCACTCCATTTGTCTTGTCTTGTCAATCACACACACCTGGTACTCATTCCCTCATTAGTCTGTGAATAAGTGTTCACTCTGCCCACTTGTCCTTTGTGAGTCATTGTTCATTGTGAGAGTGAGTAGCGCGGTTGAGCTACTCTTTCCTTGTATGTAGCCAAGGTGGATTTTCCCTTGTGCTAGTTTCGTTTTGAGGAATATGGGTCATTAACATAGTACCCATATGCTTATTATCAGGCTACCGTAATAATATTGTTCTGTCATTCACTTCGCATGCCGAAGTTTTCCTTATCATTGTTTCAACTTCCATCAGGGTGGAGTTAGAGTTTGGACATCATGTGGTGTTATAATAAAGGGATTGGAATTTCTCTCAGAACAAAAGTGCTAGTACGGACGTATTCGGGACATTCTTATGTTTAGAGAAACATAGGCTTTATGCATGTTATTTATCACTTGTTTTTATATCATTGTTTAATAGTGATAGCAATTTAACAATATATTATTTATATATATATATATATATATATATATATATATATTAGTTTAACATTTAAAACGTTTTAAGGTGTTGTGTTAGCCTACACTGGATGCTAATTTTAAATAATACATATTTGTTTAAGTTGCAGTTTCTGCATAGACTAAATTAACAGTGCGCACAGGTACCCAAGGGCAGGCTACCGAAAAATTGTCTCAATATGGGTGACAACCCTGACTTTGATGACAAAGAAATTAAAGAAGATAAAAATTGTCTGGATCTGGGGAAAACGAACCCTTCCAAATCCGTGGACTTGGAGGAACAAATCGAATGCATGAACATCCCGAATGTGAACAAGGACAATACAACTACCACGCATTTATACAAAAGGAGATGGGTGATGGTGTTCCTTTTCAGCTCTTACTCCCTTTGCAACGCATTTCAGTGGATCCAATACGGAATAATCAACAATATTTTTATGAAATTCTACAATGTGGACTCTTTCACCATCGACTGGATGTCAATGATCTATATGTTGACATATATTCCCTTTATATGGCCTGTATCCTGGCTTCTGGACAAAAAGGGACTGCGGCTCATAGCACTGATGGCCACCGCCATTAACTGCCTTGGGACATGGATCAAGGTGGCCAGCGTCAAGCAAAACCAATTTTGGGTGACGATGCTCGGACAATTTGCAGGCTCCCTATCCCAGGTATTCATCCTTGGGATGCCTTCCCGCCTAGCATCGGTTTGGTTTGGCTCTGAAGAGGTGTCCACCGCCTGTTCCATCGGCGTATTTGGGAATCAGGTCAGTTTATCCCACATCACGCAAAGGATAAACTATTACGTTAAAATGTATGATTTTGATTGTAATTATCAAAATATATTGATTTGCTGATCCAAAGAAAAAGTGCCCATAAACCGCAATGCCGTTGGCGACAATTGGAGAGCCATTACGCATTACGCACATGGGTAACCCGATTACTATATGTGATGTTTACAAAAAGGTTGGTCTTATCTGACATTTATAGATTTGACATCTTAGATAGTTCAGATGACATAGGTCTACAGTATGGCATGACAAATGGCCATCAAGAGAGTATCCTTACTTGTTGTAGTATTTTAGATTCAAAAGTCGTTTTGAAAAATTATGATACATTGAAAGTCGTTAAAAAAGTTATGATTGAGCGTAGAGCAATTCATATGCATTCACAAATGGAGGTACTGTAATTCTGTAATGGACACCTTTTGATGAGGATGCATCCTATTTTAATAAAGGTCTGACACAGTGATCAAAATCTGAAACTGAGCATCTACAACCTCTCTTACTGGACGAGATGTCTCTTATTTTCTCCCTCGAAATGCCCCATTATGAATCTAATTAGGGATTGGGTAGTCGACCCCTAAATGCAATAGGTAATGTGTATGATTATACTACTGCAATATGCCTGTATTCAGTATCCAGTTATTTTGAAGCCTTGAGTTGGAGGCCAGTTGGGATTTACAATGCTGAGGAAGTTCGTGCAAAGTCAAATAAATGTATTATAATAGTCATAATACATCTGAGCTGGTGCATGGGGTTGAGCGATCAATAAACAAACCAGGACACGTGTCTGAGTGATTGTCCTCCATTTATCAGCCCTTGGGTGCACTATTTCCACACCACTGATATAGCCCAAGGAAAATATATTCAGAGATCCTATTTAGTGCAACTTGATGAGATGCGCTGCATAGTATTCTCGTTTAGAGCTTGATATTGCTGGTCCTTTTATAGATTCATTAATCCAGGCATATAGTGAGTTA